TCAATGAAATCATCTTGATGAACAGGAAATGAAAAATCGCCGCAAAGCCTTTATAAAGCACGTCACTCTCTGACAAGCTTAGGGGCAACTTAAGGGGGAAATTGAGTTTAGGATGACTTCACCGAATATCCGCTGGAACCGGATAGGAGTCCTTGAGGATCGTTTCACGCATCCAGTCTCCATGCCGACTCTGCGTCCAGCCGAGGAAGGTGCGGTACCGACAGGCCTCCAGAGCTACAAGAAGGGGAGTGAGATGAAATTTACTTCCAAGTGTTTGAAATAGAGAACAAATAATTGCTTTCGCCATGGTACAGCTGTTGAGACATCGTCGTAAGGGCTTAGTAGTAGAAGAATCACCTTCGTTGGTATGGATACGCCCAGACGCACAGCACAACTTGACGACACACAAAAAGCTAATTATCCCAGACTCTTCCTAATGCGGATGCCCATAAGAGACTGGTCGAGGCGACCATCCACGGTTGGAAAGTGCAGTTAATCGACACCGTCCTCTGCCTAACGACAGACACTTAATGAGGTCCTGGCGAGTTGCAGAGCCAGCCAATGGGCGAGCCGGACTGGGGCCCATGAGGCAGAATGCCATGTTCCGGCTCAACTCCAAGGGCTGCTTGCTACCGGACCTGAACACACATCTAGCTCGACAGTCGCCAGGGTTACAAGGTCGTGACAGAAGCATATAACGTTACGCCAGACCGGCCGGCTGGCTGGCTGTGTGCATGTGCTCTGAGGCCTGATGGACAGGGTCGAGACGGACGAGAAGAGAGGAAGTGTTAATTGGTGGACGGACACGAATGAGGCTGGTAGGACCGGCACACTTTGAACCGTCGGTACGGCCCAAAAGAGGCGTGTGACACACCGGCCAGGCTGCTCGACATCTTTTCTGTAAGTGGGAATTCTAACTGGCGCTTCTTCCTTTACCCCATACCACATGCAAGTGTTACTTGTAGTCACCCACTCGGCCAGCCAACCAGCGAGCTTTCTCGGCCTAGCCTCTGTTTTGCTGTCCCATATCCGATGGTCTAAAGTTGGAGCTATATGCTTCGTTTGAGGGCAAACCGTCAAATAGGTCGGTAGACACAGTAGGCAT